CTGCTGCTCACTGATCGTCACCTCTCTTCTTAACCTAGCTTCAACAACTCTGTCCCATATCTTCATGCTACAGCTCATCAGCTACATCCCTCTGTGGTGTTGTACACTGAGAAAAATACATTCTGATTGGCTAGACTATCAGTGATGGAGTAGCCTCCCCAGAGCTTGGAAAACTTGGAGAACTTGACAGAGGATGGAGCAAAAGAAGAGCTTTTGGGATGCCTTTCAAGAGGCTTGGAGAGCTGTTCCTGAAATAAATTACAGAAAGCTGCCTCAGAGAGTTCAAGCTGTGCTGAGGAATAAAGACAGTAACTCCAAATATTTACTGTCAAACTCTGTTTTTGCCTCTTATAACATGTTTGCAGATGTTTCCATAGGTCACTGCTCCTATTTCCTGTGGAAATTATGAAGAAATGAAGGGTGACTCAAAATGTTTGAGATCTTTTTACGTCCAGCTTTTTTTTATTAGTTAGTTAATGGGAAAATAAAATCAACAAGTTATCAATAATGTAAATGATGTTAATTCATTCAGTTGATTGACAGAGAATTAAATGTGTTACTGTATGTGAATAATTTGGATAAGCTTGTTGATCCTTGGTTATGTTTTCTGTCGGCCATGAAGCAAAAAGGAAAGATCGTACCTCCTCATCAACACAATGTATTTAGCAGCAGATGAGCCACACACACACACACACACACACACTGATGTTAGTGTGCGTTTCCTCTCCTGCAGCCCGTCGAAGCCTCCGACGACGTGTTCTGGGATCAGTTCTGGGTGGACTCCTCCACCACGGTTCAGGATGTTTTCGCTCTGGTTCCTGCGGCAGAGATCAGAGCCGTCAGAGAGGAGTCTCCGTCAAACCTGGCAACCCTCTGCTACAAGGTAACCTGACATATTCAGGACCGGGGCTGTAATCGTTTTGTTTCTGAGTCAGTTTAGAGTTTTTTGCGCAGACTTACTTTCAGTCTCAAACTGCTGTATAAACACTCTGCCCTGTGTCGGCTCTCTCTCACATGTTTAAGGCTTCTTAGGACGTCTTCTGTCTGATCTTCGTTGCCACCAGCTGCGAGGACGTCTGTATGTTGCTTTAGAGCAGCTTTTGTCCATCCTGGATACAGTCGGAGACAAAGGAATGCAGCTGTTTGTTGTTCCCACAGTTTGATGGCAAAGGTCAAACGTCATTTATAGAAATGCAGAAAAACAGAGAAACTAAGCCTGAAGATCATTTGGTAGTTTAAGGTTTTAAAGGGCAGAGAGCTGCTTGGGTGACTGGATGAAGGTCATGTGACAAAAAGATGTGCTTTTAAAAACTCCCGAGGTTTTATTTGGTTCATGTGGAACGACCCGTGTTTTTCACTATAAGCTGAAAGAAGCAGCCGCTGGACAGAAACAGCTGCAAGTGTTAATGTGTTTTAGTGCAGCTACAAAGGCTAGCTGGTCAGAAGATATGCTATTGAAGATTTTATGCATTTATTTGTCATGCATGATGGTCACACTGATTGGGGTCCAAACCCAATTTGCTGACATAGTTTTACACCTACAAGTACGATGAAGTCACGTAGAGTTTAGAAGAATGAGTCGCTGTAATCAAAACAAGCTCAAACTAATGAGTCCACTCACCAATCAGAAGCTTGATGCTTCAGTCGCCTGGTGAAAA